CTGCCTTACTGTGTTAAATTTCCTATATGGCAGCGAATGCGGCACAATCTCTTCAAAAGGTGTAAAAGAGAATTGAAATGAGAGAAATGCGCTTCTATCGACAAATGCTGAGAATACCATAGACTGAAATTATGAACAACTAATAACTATTAAAGAAACTGATGGCTAAAATCAGAATGATACAGTTAAACTTACCGGTTTAATCAGGAAAAGGGATATTTCAGGGAATTTAACGCTCAAAGAACTCATTGAAAGCCTGGCCAGCTGAGGGAAACGACAAGTAACCTAACTAACGATTTTGTTTCGTGAAATGATGGAAGAAAAGGGTCATAGAAAGATAGAAAAAATGGCCAAAAGTTACTTAGAAAAACAAAAGAGATAAAAGCCATGATCGCCACATCTTGAAAGCGAATAAATGTTGATAACACTTGGGAATAATCGTGTTGCGTGGCGTGTTAGCACCAGGAAGCTAATTAACACGAGCAGAAAAAAGATAAAGGAACCCTATCTATTTGAGCGGTAGAATATGTAACAAACAGGCACTTGCGGGCATAGATCCTGAAGTACTTCCATACTTTCAGTACATCAAACGTTTGACTCAACAAGAAACACTATCAAAAAATTGACAAGTTTTCAGTTTGATGCTGTGATAATTTTACACTAGTTTCTGCCATTTCCTTTGAAATTGCATTCTTGGACTATTTGCATACAGGTTCATGAAGAATAATGCCCAGAAAGGGTAGTGGCAAAATTACGTACTACATTAATTTCATTTACTTTTGAATAGCAATTCCTTTATTCGGTTTTGTCGTATAAAATAAAATATTTGGTAATTTTTTCACATCAGATTATTCAAAGGATGTTTATTTTTCTGAAATAGGATGTGCGAGTGGTGTAATTAGCGGTGTTCAGAATAAGAAATAGGAAATCCCAAATACACATTAGAATGGTATGAATCAATCTCCTCCTCCTAGCTACGGGTTAAATAGTAGGACCTGTAACTGGAAAAATCATTGTTATTCTAAAAAAATGACAATGCAATATTATAAAAGCTATTTTAATAAAAACGGTATTCAAATTGTATGAGAAAAAAGATAGAAAATGTTGGAATGTGTAAAAATGTATATGAAAATTATTTTTAATAAAAACGATCATATTGAATTGCATGAAAACGTAAGTAAGAAAATTAAAATGTTACTAACACAGTTTCTTAGAAAAAGAAACCACTGAAATGAAACCAGACACTTTATATATATATATATATATATATATATATATATATATATACCAAAAATCTGAATGAAAATTCATGTGCAAAGATTTCAAAAAAAAAAAAAAGAAAAAATGTGAGGTTCCAAATTGATGTTATAAAATCCCGCCAGAATGAGACCTGACGGTTTAAACTTTCCGTGACAAAATTTTACAGGATGGACTTGATATTGTCAAAAACCAGCCAAATTTGAACTAAAAACAATTGTGGTGTGTTTGGATAGTGATTCTCGATGTTTTAAGCCTTGAGGTTTAAAAGTATATATCCTCTAAAGTTTTGAGTTGTGATCCTGTTGGAGTAATTTGCTCTATAAGAGGGAAAATTTTGACTATATGGTCAGAGAGGATTAGACCACAATCGGGGTAGAAAGTTGCCATCTAGGACCAGAATGGATGTGACCACCCGAGCGAGAAAAGACTGTAAACTGGGTTGAGAAGGACCATTAATATTACTGTTGCTGTTGCTTCTGTCGAAAAGAAAGAAAGAAATAGAAAAAGTAACCTTAAAAACGTATGAGAATTCTCTTTTTTAAACCTGTGTGAGTTTATCTCATATTGAGAACGCCTGTTCCGAAATCCTGAATATTTTGTCTAAAGGACATAGAGAACCAGCTTCGCCTGCCAGCGATAGGTCAACCATTTCTAACCCCATTTGACTTTCAACTTTTCAACCTTCGACATTTTGAATAGTGAACTTTTCGATGTAAATAAATTTCTTTTATTGCTAAGAAATTGGTTTATATGAACTGTTGCTCTAAAAAAAAAGTTGTTAAAATTCTTTTGACGTGAAGGATAGAATTTTTTGTCATGAACTTGTTTTCTTAGAGAAAACATGTTTGTACTTCAAAGAACTCTTAATCTGCCTTGATAGTTACAGACACACAAGGGAAATTTTGTTCAAGGACTATATTATATTTTTTCAGAATTTGTATATTGGAGAAAAATGTTGTCATTTTAATAAATATTTAATTCTTTGCAAATTTCGCTCGGCATAAGAATCATATTGCCTTTTGGGTTAGCGCCTTTAAAAGGACTTCTAAAGGGGGAAGATTAAAGATTAAAGATCGGCCTTTGAAATAATCCTCATCCCTCTATTCTACTTTTGTTTACTTTTAATACTCACTCGCCAAAAGAAAAATATTCTTACACTATTTACATCGTTCGCACTGTTGTCCTCATCTTTATTGCCATATTTACGACGCTTCAGGCGTTGTACGCTCCGGCCTTCTTCAGGTGATATACCTTGGAATTTCGAATCGAACCCTTTATATAGTCCATGGGTGTAGACTCTTCTAATTCTAACGTGCCATGTATTTTCTGGATATCATACTTTCAGTTAATTCCCTTTATTAATTCTACCCTCAAAGTTTTTATTTACCTCTGCTGTGGTCAGGTATTGAACTCACAACTCTTTGGGTTAAGTCACTTTTTGGATTAATCAATCACTGGGCCACGTATCTTTGTGCACTAAATAAAAATTTCGGTCCAAAATTCGAACGTATGTAACCCGAAGAAGACCGGAGAGTACGAAGGCCGAAATGTCGTGAATGTGGTAATAAAGATGAGGGCAATAGTCCGAATAATGTAAATAGTGTCAATCGCTATTAACTGTCATCCTGACTACTTTTTTCCACTTCTCGCTCATTATTAATGTTTCTGTTCTTAATTCTTCCACACCCTGTAACCCCTTATGTCTTAGTGGCTTTACTGCCTTGCATGAGGTGATACTGATAAAAAATAGTTACAATACCTCATCTCAGAAATATAGACAAAGTTTAAGATGCGTTTCGGCTTCAAATAACACTAAAAAAGGTAAGAAAATTCAAAGGATAAGCTGTTAAAAAAATCCCCAAAAAACGAAATAATCAATTTTTCTGAAATACTAAAATGTAAAAATGAAAGAAATTGAGGAATCGGAGAGCCGAGTTCAAATTCCAGTCGAATCCATTACATTCACTTACGTGCTAATACCCTTAGGAAAGATATGGATCCTCTTCTCCTCCCCCGCCACCAGCAATGGATAAATAGCGGGACAGACTGAGTTCTATAGCCTTGGATGGCAACTGATCTACCGCAGAAACAAATGGCAACCAAATGCGGGAAGAATCTGCATCGTCAGTCATGTATCGCGTAAGTGTGTATCACGTATGGCTCATAACTGACTGAAAAATGAAAGAAAATCTAGCAGAAGACTATATTTTCAGACTCTTTTGAATTACGGATTTCTGAAGAAATGTTAACTTCGAAATTTAATTGCAAACTTTTTAGTGTCAATAACTTTGGAGATAGGTCCAGTGAGATTCCATTCATCCATTCATCCATTTTTTTTTTTTTTTTTTTTGTGATAAAAAATAAAAGGTCTAAAAGTGGAGTAATTTTATTCCGATTGTATAATCATTTAACAGGGAAAATGTCTGCATCGGGATCGGATTAAGTCAGTGTAGGATTTATAGCATATGTTATAAAGAGGCCCTAAATTAAAAAAAAAAAAAAACAATACACAAAAATATCAAGTTATAAATTATTTACTAGCATAGGGATAGAGCTTGTAAAACAATACTTAACATAAACAAACCGAGAAAAATATAAGGAAAATGATTCTAAGATGGATGCATCGATGCGTAGAACTTGTCTCGAGAGATGCACTGTAACTGCATATGTTGATAAAATGTGATGACCTGAGCCTAACCTGACTCAGATATTAGCAAGTAAATAATTTGAAGGAATTATTCAATAAAACACTGTCAAACACAATATTTCACTTCTTATGAAACATTAAAAGAGTTATTCAGTAAAACGAAACGTTTATTCAATCTAGTCAAAAACAATCTTCGAATTCTTACGAAAAGTCAAATTACATAAATAGTTACGTATATATATATATATATATATATATATATATATATATATGTGTGTGTGTGTGTGTGTGTGTGTGTGTGTGTGTGTGTGTGTGTGTGTGTGTGTGTGTGTGTGAATAAATCAGCTATAAATAAAGCATACATCTGTAAAAAGAGAATATGAAAAAGGGACAAAAAAATTATTCTTTACCGACGTGTTTCACCCTCTGACGAACCTTATCAAGGGAAATGTAAGAATTTTATTTTGCTAATTTTTTTTTTAGTAAACAAAGTAAAAAGAATCGTTAGGTTTTCAAATTTTTTAGATTTAAGAACGCTCAGAAATATTCTAAATGCTGTGATAGACAAAGTAAACTATTACAGTTAACCCTAAGAATATTTTTATTTTTCCTCTTGTCTTTATTTGCATATATATATATATATATATATATATATATATATATATATAAGGGTGACCGAAAAGTAACCGGAATTGTGTCATATGTTATTCCTTTACTCGTATTGTTGCATGTTTATATTCTTATCACCTTCAAAGTATTCTCCATTTGAAGTAATGCACCGGTCCAGACGTGTTTTTCACTGTTCAAAGAAATCCTGGAACTCTTGTGAAGTAATGTTTTTTAATGACTTTGTCATTTTCTTCTTAACCTTTTCCGCATCTGCAAAAAGTTTTCTTTTGAGGACTTTCTTCATTCGGGGGAACAAAAAATTGTCGCAGGGAGCGAGATCGGGTGAATAGGGAGGGTGGTGAAGTGGGGTTATACCATTCTGTATCAGAAACTGTCTCACATTCAAAGCAGTGTGCGCTGGCGCATTGTCGTGATACAACCACCACCCTCCACTTTGCCACAGGTCAGGACGTTTTCGTCTCACCTTGTCTCGCTTCAGGACTTCCAAGTAAAAAGCCTGGTTAACAGTTTGACCAGAAGGAACAAATTCTTTGTGGAGAATTCCTTTCACATCAAAGAAACAAATCAACATCGTCTTGACATTGGACTTCACTTGACGCGCTTTTGAGGGTCGTGGTGACCTTGGATGCTTCCACTGACTTGATTGCTGCTTCGTTTCCGGGTCGTAGCCATAGCACCAGCTTTTGTCACCATTGATGACGTTCGAAAAAAGATCTGGATCAACTTCCAACTGTTCCAACTGTTCTTTCAGTTTATGACAGGCATCCATTCGTGACTGCTTTTGATCGTCCGTGAACAAGCAAGGCACCAAGTTTGCTGCAACCCTTTTCATTCTTAATTTCTCAGTCAGGACACACCAGTCGAATCAATAAGTTCGTCAATTGTTCGGCTGTTTGGGAGGTTGAAGGTCACCCTGAACGAGGCTGGTCTTCCAGCGACAGTTGACCATTCCTAAAGCGTGCAAACCACTCATAAACTTATGTTTTACTCATGGCAGCATCCTTGTAAGCTGTTTTAAGCATGACAATATATATATATATATATATATATATATATATATATATATATATATATCGAACAATAAAAAATATTAAAAAATTAAAATCTTCAGACACACAGGGTTATATATTAATATTCTTTCGTTTGTATTATTATTTCATTTGGATTCCTCGACTAGTTTCGGCCAACAAGACCATCATCAGGAGAAAAAAAATTCTGCTTGTTAGTAGCAGTGAACTACAGAAATGAATGTCTTGATGGAGAAAATGAACTTTTGTCTGTAGTTTTCATTTGTTTTTTTTTATTTTTTTAACATGAATTTTGGCCAGTTTTTGTGTTAAGATAAGAGCTGGATGGATTCATGCTGCTCTGAATTTCTTTAGTCATTTTGACAGTTTTATCGGTTCCTGGAAATACACACACACACACACACACACATATATATATATATATATATATATATATATATATATAATCCTAAAGAACCAGGAACTACCTACCTAGGTTTCACCTAAATGGACCTTCAGCTTATCCTGAAGATCCATTTAGGTGAAACCTAGGTAGATATAGAAACTATCTCCGGTTCACAGTCTTTATGTTGGAAAAAAACCATGAGTCGCCATTTCCTGTTTGAAGAATATGTCCTCGTTAGTGACATAGAAAATAAATCTAGCCCGTACGAATCTCCATTGGGAATTCTAAATATCGCTTCTCCAGAAACTCAAAAGAATCATCCTGCAGCTCAAATTTCCATTGGGAATTATTACAAGTATGATCCCCTCTTTCTCTCGATCATTTTCACACTGCTTGTGTAGTGTACATGTGTTACAGCTTCTCTACGTGCGATGTAAATATGTGTATATAATATTGTGTGTAACTTAGCAATATAAAATTACAAAGAACGTTTGCCATTCCTTTTCTTTGATCTATTCCGTTCCGTCTGTTTATTAAAGAGTTATTATATTATGGATATAAGAATATCACTAATAATAGGGAAATCCAAACGGAAAATATTCCTTTCTTACATATCTCAACTATTAACTAGTGACAACGACGCAATGTGATATTAGTACCCAATTGCATATGTTAACTTGTAACGGGCTTAATGGGTTGTAATTGTTAATGTAAGTTATCCCATTCTTATTTGTATTTGTAGTTGATAGAGGATTTCTTTTTTCTATTTTATTTTTTACTGCAAATGAAATAAATAAAACGTACAACAATAACAAAAAATAATACTTTGAAAAACGTGTTGACACTAATGACAAGAATGTGTATTTTTCTTTTCGTGATGTTAATTACGATATTAGTATTGTGTCTGTTAAAATGTTCTCCGTGTTAATGTTGCTTTTGTTTCTTTAAATATTTGTGCTTACTTGTTTTTCCTTGTTTCGAGAATTTCGTTGTTACGGGTAGCGTTTGAGACCGTTAATTGTGGATTTTTAAAGAGCGAAGAAGATACGTCTGTGTTGTTATTTTTACTACTGCTACTCTACTGACCTCGCTTGTGGGGGAAGGGTCGTTTTTATAATGATGAAATTTTAGATTTTAGAATGGTGAAATATCATCATTATCATCATCATCATCATATATCATCACTGGTAGGAAGGTTTCTGTAGATGATGAATTTTTTATCTTTATTTCCTGAATGATGAAATATCCTTATCATCTATCATCACTGGTGTAAAGGTTGTTTTTAGAATGATGAAATATCATCATCATTCTGGATCATAACAAACTCTAACGAGATATTTGTGTAGATTTAACTGTATCGATAAAACGTTATCTGAAATGATGAATGACGAAACATGCAGCTATACCGATATGTAAACATTAACCTTGCCTGATCGTAGGATGCCGATTTCATCAGACATCTTGAAAATATTTTATGTGGGTCCTCGAAAATGTGGAGATCATAACATTTGTTACTTTTGATACTAGGTCAATTTGGCATTGGTTGATATTAAAACTGAAAAATGTTTGAATTCTTCTTAGGATCAAGACTGAATAATTCAACCCCAAAGTCTTTTATTGATTTTATTTTTAAGTTTATCAAAGGCCTAATCATTCCATTCAATTAGATCATCATGGAGAAAAATATTGTTTTTAACCAATCAGAAACGAGGTCAGCTTGAAATAAAAAAAAAGAAAGTGTTCTACAGGGTGGTCCGAAAGTCTTGTCACCTCATACCAAAAAGTAACGAGAACAAAAGAAGAATACAAAGCATATGTAGTAGATTCAGTTTATTCACTTTCATTGACGTTGCCATACGTCGAGAAGGTCTGTATAAACACAATCATTTTCGTGGCACAAAATGATGCGGAGCCATGTTCTGTGTCGTATTTTACGAATCTGTGCTTTATTAGTTGTTGCAAAGGCTCTCAGAACGGCGTCCTTCAACTGATGTGCATTCTGGTATCGTTCATGTGAAACTCTGTCCTTGATAATAGCCCGAAGAGCGCTGAAATAGAAAATCATATTATGTATGGTGGGGACATGACTTTCAGAGCATCCTGTTCATTCAACAGTCATGAATCAGAACCCACATAGAAAAAAAAATAATCACTCTTTCATTTATATCACGATCGGCCCCACTTGATCCGGGGTCTTTCTGATCAGTACTGGCGCCGGTCAACTGATGGTTGTCTGTTGACCTCTTCGTTTTTTCATCTACTCTGTCCCACGTTGTGAATGATTGATCACAGTGTCGTGAAAATCGAACATTCGTACGCACTTAAGCACTGAATCGAGTTGGCGGAACCGTGCTATGAAAACTAAAGGACAAATATAGACAAAGATACTCCCGCCTGTAAGAATACAAATTATAATAAATCACGAAGAAAGTCGCAGGGGTTAATTTTTGATGGCTTTATATAACTGTCCATACACAAAGTTAACCCTCCACCTGGAACCTAGTGACAGGGAATCTTCTGTTTCAAAACTTGGAGCGGGTGAAACATTCACACTAGATGTCAGGTAGTCGGGACTTTGAGTCATCAATTCTCCACGCCATTCTCTTGTCCGGCTCGACGTCAGCAATCATCTGCTCGGCAATTCTCTTTGACAGCAGGACACGTGAATTCATCCAGCGTCCCAAGCCCATTGCCAGGCTCGAGCACCCTCGGGCCGCTTCTCGCTCAACTGCGACTGCTCAAAATCTTCGCCCCAACAAGCTCTTATTTCAAGTAGCGTACAGTTTATATGCAGCTCGCATAACGCTGACCACGCCTCCAGATTCGTTAATATACATTTTCTTCGACCTTGGATTAACAATACCCAACTCTCGATACTGGGTTGACTATTTAAAACGATATAACTTGTTTTTCATTCCCTTTTTACTTTACAATTATTGTTTACTAATTAATTTTTGTGTATAAAAATGTATTCCACATCAGAAAAGAATTCACTCTGCTTTTAGAAATCCTTCCTTTTCTCCAATCAACAATTTCTTGACCTCGATAAATTCTTTTGTTCATTTTCAAAACAATCACCAATTGTTTACATTTTCAAACGATCCAAATATTGCCTGCGACAATCGGCTGTTCTTATCAAACCAAAACAATTTCAAATCGGCTAAAGGAATTTATCCACGTTTAACAAATAACTATGAAATCTTATTTTCCAAAACAACCGATTTCAAATTCTATTGTTTTATATTTTAGTTTTTAAGTAATTTTCTGCGTAATCAAGAAAATTATGCTTCATAATTATTTTCCCTGCCTCATAGCGCAATGTTTGCAATTAATAATTTCCACGTTGCAGCCCTTCTAATGCTGCAGTTCTATCCGGGCTTCTCACACGAACTCTTTTCTTAATCCTATGTCACATTCCTCCCAACTTCTAGTAGTGACACTTTAATTGTTTCACAATAAAGTACGCATTATAATTTTGCGTTTTTTAAAAGAAAAGCACTTCTTTCTGATACAAGATGTGTGTGCGTAAAATTTCAGATATAAATAAAAAATATATCTGTAAAATGTCAATATGAATAAAGACAAAAAGAAAATAATTCTTTACCAACGCGTTTCCACCTTTGAGGTACTTTATCAAAGTAGATGTAAGGATTTTATTTATTTATTTTTTTTTTGCAACAAGTACTTATAAATAAAAAAGTGCTCTTTTATCTTTATATATATATATATATATATATATATATATATATATATATATATATATATATATATTATTTATTCTAAAATTATAACATAAATATGTTATAAAATCACTACAAAAAATACCCATTTTGTTTCAACACTTCTAGCGTCTTATCTTCTGGTGTTGAATGTAGAATACTTGGTATATATATATATATATATATATATATATATATATATATGAAAGTATTACCAGTTTGTGACTGGTAGGGATAATTCAAGGAGGATATTAATCCAGGGGAGTAGTCAAAGTAGACTACAGAGCATTATAATATTATATATATATATATATATATATATATATATATATATATATATATATATATATGTGTGTGTGTGTGTGTGTGTGTGTGTGTGCGTATGTGATAGGATAATGAATAAATAGAAAATGTTAATAAATTTAACATGTTTCGCTTTTATTTAAGCAGCAGCAGAAAATGAAATATGGAGGAGAAAAGAAAATTCTGGTATTTCATATATATATATATATATATATATATATATATACCGGATGTAGTAGCAAAATTGTCCAGATCATGTAACAGCAAAATTGTACAATTGTTAGATTAAACTTTGAACCGTTTTTCTCAGAAATGATTAAAGATCTCTTCCAGGAATTCTCCCAGATTTTTATAACACTATTGGACTATACTTTGAATAATAAGTTAAAATGATGAT